AAATAGGCAAAACAAGCGTAGTAACTAGATCGACTACAGGGATAAACTAATGCGATCAAGACAATATTTCAGTTTGTCCTTGTATAAGTTGTTCAATCTTCTACAATGATGGTAGCAGTTTGTCCGTCAAACGCCGGGTCCTTGTACTCTATATAACTTTCTATTACTTCATATTCGCGCAGCAGGAGACTTCGCAAATATTTGATGGTCGTGTGCACAAGCCCATCCATGAGTGTTTTGAGTGATGGTTGCTCCATGATCCTCCTTCGGAATTCTTGTCGTCGCCATTCATCGATGTTGTCTGCATTGGAAACACTTGCACTTGCAGAATAGTCATTATGAATAAGGAAAGATACTTTGCAACGACCTCGAACAGTTGCCGCTGCACAAAACAAGGTCATCATGTTGAAATTGTTGTGGCAAAATTTGACTGCTGAATAATACAATTCTGAAAAGGGTGCGAGCACTTCTCGCGGGTATGTTCTCGTTCCACAACACCTCCGACCACAAATATACAGTGACTCTCGAGGAAAATGTTCCCAGTCTTCCGGTGGGGCATCCACACCTCTAACACTGAGTACTGCACTGTCAAAGATCACTTTAGATGTGAAGAAAACTGGACCCATATCATGCCATATATTTCTTCCCCACACCATGTTACTTGGCGGCCATCCAGTCGTCACAAATTGTTGAACCATTCTGCAACACATGAAAATACAGTTTAAATATATATAAGTGAAAGCTCAATGACATCTAAATAACGTATTAATACGTGTAAAGAAATACGATTAGCTCTTCTTCAAAACCTATTTAAAACCTATTGATCTTCATTATTGGAAAGTGAAAGGCATACCAAGGCCTTCTCTCTGGCCGATTTTGGAATGTGTACTCCATTTTCTAAATGCAATGTTTTTTATGTCCAGCTCCACACAACACAGTCTACATGCTGCCACTGCTGTGATGTTGTGTTGTCTTTCTTCCACGTCTTCTTCCATGCGTTCGAATATTGGACCGAAAGACGTTTAGTAATAGGTTGTGGCACCCAATATTCAATAAGAACATGATTGAAAGTTGACGACTTCATATCGTTGTCTACATCGGAAATGACTCTACCCATCCATACAGGAACTCCCTCATCGATATCATCTTGGGAAGGACGCAAGAGAACGAATTGACCTTTTTGGACATCCACAACTGGGTTGAGCTCCGCCTTTGGACGCTTATTAGCCGGTCCAACGAACAACGGCTCCTTATTCTCATTGCTCTTCAAGAGGAAGGCAATATCAATATCATCTGGATCATCCTTCTTAATTTTGTCTTGTGAGGGCCAGAAGCCAGCCTTGAGTGAAGTTTTCGCAAACCTAGACCCGTAATGCTCCTCGACTGTCTCGAGGAAAGTTTTCAAGTGTGAAAGAGCACTCTCCTTTGAGACGCTAACCTCATCTTTCATTCCCAACCACTCGTGCCGCTTGTTCTCCAACCACCCAACAAACGTCTTCACACCTTCAACTCCCGATTCGAAATTCGAATTCCTATCTTTAGTAGGTGGAGAAGTTGACGGCGGAATAGGTGATGGCACGAATGGCCATTCGGGTCCAGCATATGCTTTGTTTCCATCTCGTTTAAAGCAATAGACTGAAGCAGACCATTCAGGAGAAGTGCAATATTTTTTTCACTGGAACAGAGGATTGTCATCCTGCATATAAAACCTAAATGCATGTGGACGAGTATGACCGGTCAGTCTCTTGACCAGGAAGGGCTTAACAGCAGCTCGCCAATCAGCAATTTCATCCATGAATGTGCACGATTGACGTTCTTTTTGAGACCTGGCAACGAGCTTGAAGAGGTCGAGCATGGTATATGCATCGTGCATTTTCAGTTTGCGAAAGAAATGACTGAAAGTGGCATCAATGTCCGTATGTGTGTATCCCACTAACATAAAATCGAATTCGACTTCTTTGAAAAAACCAAATTTCACCAAAGCTGCAGTGAGTGCCAAAACGTATCTGTTTTTGTTTTCTCGCCAACAGTTGTCAGCTTGTATCCTCAGTTTAGGAGGCAAGTCGCTTGTCGCCTGGATGTCGCGGAGAATTTTCATAATGGATGACACTATAACATTAGAATCATGAGCATGGACCGATGGTGAGCGGCCGTGTGCAATAATAACTGTTAGATTCGTTTTCAACATCGGCATATTTGCGAATGCCTTCGATTTGTTCTCTCTGCCAAAGTGTGGAATGCTGGTCTTGCTTTGGTCCATGCCGTCAATGATGATGCACAAACTGTTGGAACCCGGTCTCTTCGACTCATCCTTCCACACCTCATACGCAACACGATGTTGGAGCTGCAAGTCCAAGTGTTTTTCGCGTAACGAAAGAAAGTACTCACGCACACGAACGAACTTTGCGGAATTGATAGATTCTTTGTATTCGATACATTTCTCGCATTTCGCAAAGTTTTGATCAATTTCATGGAATTTCACATGCCAGAACTGCGTTCTCCACATGTTGTAGAAAACTTGGAGAGAAACACAAGGAGGACCCATGTTGTCGAATTGCGACTTTAGCAACTTATAAATATCAACCTTGTTATAGCAAGCAGACAATCTCAACACCACTCTCGATTCCCCCTCTTTGATCTTCATGTCATTGGGCATGGAATCTCCGTTGTCTCGCACGAAGGAGCTTAGTTTCCCGTGCATCGTCGCATATGTTGCCGATGTGCGTCTGAGCCCAGTACTGCCATGCTCCGGCACATTGTAGCCTTTTGACGAAGTCATCCTTTTTTTGAGAAATGTATTCCTACATACACCTACTGTGAAACACCAAACACTAATGCACACGTTTCGTCTCCCCACAATATGTTGAACAATCTCCTTTTCATCTTCCATGAAGGTGAACCTCTACAAAGTTTCAACCCACCATGCATCCCTGCTCTGCTGGTTGTTAGAGTAGTATGCACTCCGGACAACTTTGATGTCGTCTAGGGTCATTTGAGCGCAACCCTCTGTTTACAGCAAACCTGTCCATGCACACTCGCCAGTGCTTTTTTGGTGAGTTTTCTATAATCTGATTGCAGAATCTTCTTTGACCGCGGCATTCTCAGACAAAAAGTATAAGGACGCTTCTCTGAGGACAGACATTTTGGAAAAATGTCATCGAAATCAGAGATCACGTCACAATTCTCATCGTCATTTGGACAACAGTGGTCACTGTTCCGGTCAGCGTACGTTTGCGGAAGATCGATTTTATCTGGAGAACTATCAGCACTAGACGACACCAAAGCACTTGAATCTGAACCACCTTCATCACTCTTACCAAACTGAAGACCTGTGTACTTGAAATCTCGAAGTGAACTCCTCGACACCCATACAACACGATCTACATCGGATGCGTCGTTGTCAGTAGAGGAGGCCCTACCCTCCTGACCTTCAACACTCTCTGCATCACAGGTTCGAACCGGGCATCGAAGGACGGGATTCGCACTTTCACATGTAGTGTCCGCACACGCAATATTTCGTGACCTTTTATGAGCAGGAGATTCCGGAGATTATCGACACGTTCGTGACCACTTCGAACATCTTGTGAACGCATTGGCAGGTGCGGTGGAGGAAGATCCTCATTGAGCATTGTATTAGACGCCACACTGTCCATGCTTTCCAAGGTTGTGCTGCAAGCCTCCATGGCATAGCATGCACACCACAAGCCATGCACGAGACGTGTCTGAGACAACAAAACAGCGGACCACTGTGAAGGCCGAAAATCAGAGGTCAATGAAATGGAGCAGACAACCATCCCTACACAACAGCGAGAAACACAACCCTACAAATGAACCTAAGAAACACAGCCCTACACTTGACGGAGGGGAATAGGAAACATCCGAGAGAGGATAACAGACGACCGTGGAATCTGGGCAACAATCCAGTCATCAGGCCCAATCCGTGCCAAAGGCGCAATATACGAGAAAGAGTCTGTCCAAGTCGGAGATCGAACGACAGTGGGAAGCGTAGCACATGTCGAGTCGGGGCACCAGCAACGAAAAACACAGCGTGCAACAGCATTGAAAAGACGGAGATCTTGACGCGCGACAGGAAACGCAGCACGTGTCACGTCGGGCACCAGCTTCGGAAAGGCAGAGACCACGACGCGCAAATCCCAGCGGGCACCAACAGCGGAACGACGAAGACTCTGACGCGCAACACACAGCTTGGCACGAGGGCATTGATAGGAAAAATTCTATATTACTCCAGGAACTACAGGGACCGGACACGCGTGGTACTCACCACCCACGCAGAGCGGGCAGAAAAACTGCCACGAGTGAGCAGGAATACCATAGTGGCAAAGCGACCGTACCATCGTGGCAAAGCGACCGCCTCGCCCAACACGGAAGGGTCCCCCGTCTTGATTCCCGTTACGCGTGGTACTCACCACCCACGTAGAGCGGGCAGGAAAACTGACAC